AATCAAAACAACAATGAAATATACCATTTCACCCCAGCACTGATGGCAAGGTTCAATGAGACAGAAAATACCAAATGCTGGTGGGGATGTGGAGAGATTGGGACTCTCATACACTGCTTGTGTGACTGTGAAGTGACACAACCACTGTGGAAAGCAGTATGGCAATTCCTTAGAAAGTTGCAATTGGAGATACCATTAGACCCAGCAATCCCATTACTAGATATATATCCTAGAGAGGTGAGAGCCAGGATAGGAACAGATACATGATGCTCATGTTCATCACAGCACTATTTACAATAGCAAAAAGATGGAAACAACCTACATGCCCATCAGCGGAAGAGTGGATGACCAAAGTATGGTACATACACATACTGGAAAGCTATGCAGCACTAAAGAATAATGTAGAGTCTGAAAAACACCGCATAATATGGATGAACTTGGAGGACATTAGGCTAAGTGAAATAAGTCGATCACAGAAGGACAAATATTGTATTAGTTCGTTGTTGTGAAGGGTCAAGGAAAGGTTTATACATGGTAGGAAACCTTTGTTGGTTGCCAGGGGTCGGAGAGGAGGGGAGGGAACACTACAAAAAAGAAAATGCATTGACTCATGTCACTTTAGTTTTGTGTATTTCACCATACATAAATCATATTTCAATAAAATAAATAAAATTTATTTTAAAATAAATATATAAAAAATAAAAATGGTTGAGCCAAAATGGAATTGAACAGCTTTTGCAAACATGTAACAGTGGCATGACTTCCTTATTTTCTTAACTGCTGATGTAGGCTGACAAGAAATAGAAATAAGTTTTAAGAAAGAAACAAAACAAAACAAAAAAAACCTCACTGCTATTTTTTAAGTCCAAACAGGTAGGTAAAAATTCTTCAAATTGAGAATTTGAGTAATAAAAATAAAGTTTAACAACAGCAGTCTAAAAATTCTGACTTTAACATTAAATGAACTGTTAGGAAAGTTTTTAATTACATTAAAAAATTAAAAAAACTGAATAAAGATTAAATAATGCTAACTCAAAATTTTAGCAAATTAGCTAAAATCCAATTCTGAGAGACTTGCTTTGGGACAACTGAATGTGGTATCAGGCCCTATGACGAAGATTGTTACTTATCCTTAGTATCCTGTCTCCCCTTCTGAGTTTTGGCAGGTTGCATGGCTACCCAGCTGTTGTTGTTGTTGTTGTTATTATGTGCCGTGGAGTTGGCCCCGACTCATAGATTTCTGAGGCAGTATTACTACAGAAGTAGGATTGCCCAACCTTCCTTCCGAGGAGTGGCTGGTGGGTTTGAACTGCCAGCCTTCTGGTTAGCAGTCAAGTGCCTTAGGCACTATGCTACCAGAGCTCCCTAGATATGATATTTCCTACCAACTTAAAGTTGGTAGGAACAATGCCCTATTCCCAGGTAATGCCTTTAAAAAGGAAATTGCCTGGTCTCTATACTTTCTTTCCCCCTTCTGTAAGCCAGACTATAGATGTGTTGATTTTGATCACATGGGCAAGAATTCATCCTAGGAAATGCCAGACTGACAAGATATAAGGAATGTAGGTCTTGAATGACTAGCTGGAAGAAATATGCCTACCTCTGAAATGCCATGAGTCAAAGGAATTTCCCTCTTATTTGACCCACTGTATTTTTTCAATGTTTTTGGTACAGAAGTTTAAAGAAATATTCTAATACCAACTGTTATTGTAGGAAATTCACTTGCATTGCTTGTTGTTGTTCTTAGGTGGCATCGAGTCAGACTTAACTAATACCGAGCTCACGTACAACAGAATGAAGTACCACCTGGTCCCACACCAGCCTCACAATCCCTGGGATACCCAAGCCCATAGTTGAAGCCACTGTGCCAATTCATCTTCTTAAGGGCCTTCCCCTTTTTCGTTGACCCTCTACTTTACCAACCATGATATCCTTCTCCAGGGAATGGTCCCTTCT